GTTAAATAGACCCTCACGAAACTCTGGAGCTGGAAAGGGCTGATCTGCCAGTATCATGTTTTCAGTTTGCTAACAACACTTTGTTCTCTCTCTCATTTCAATGAGAAAGGAGTCTATATGGATTTGTTTTGTTTATCTGAAAGGCTGAAATCTCAACAGCTCTGAAAAATATTCACTATTTAATGCTGACAATTAAAAACACAAAAAAATCCCAAACCCAAACCAAAATCAAAACCATATAGCTTCCTTTGGCAGAGTACAAATTGAGTATATCAAAGCTAGTCTCAAAAGTTAGCAATGTGCCAAAACAATATATAAAAAAGTGATCTTATATATTTTCTGTCCAATACTCAAAATCCTGAGGTCAAAAATTACTTTTTTGCCTTTGGATACCCACAACAGGTTACTGCATTCTTTAATCACACAACCTAGCCTAGCAGCAGGCTTTCAGGAGTGCTGTTGAAATCTGGCAGAGAATGGCTGTGGCACTGCTTCGCAACACCTATTCTTCTTTTTGCTATTTCCACTGTTTCTACTTCCGTGTCCAAGGTTCTCCGGATATCACTAGTTTTCTTGTCACAATTTTCTAAGCATTTGTTACCTAGTAAGAAAAACTAAACAATCTAAATGTCCAAAAGTAAACTACCTTCTCAAAAGGTAAAACTGCAGATCCCAGTGGCTTTACCTCTCTGATAGCATGGGGCCCCTGTGGGCTGCACTGAACCGAGCTGCTTGGCAAGTGCTTGCAAGGGATTCTCCCTCTTCCTGTGAAGTTCTTCTGGGCCAAGTTACTACTCTCTTTACAGCTTTTAGATATGCCACTTCTCTAGAAATACACTGAGGAGGGGATGAAGGCAGTGTCAGAGAGAGAGAAGAAATATTTAAGATGCAAAGTTTGCAGCAATGGCCATAAATAAGTATAATGGGAAAATCTGGAAAAGATACCAGACCATCAGACATCGTGTGAGACAACCTATAAACAGGAGTAGTGGGACAATTGCCCCTCAGCTTAGAAAACGAGGGCTGACACATTCAAGAGCAAAGGATTTGATGCAGTTGCCTGTGATACTGCAGTTGTTAGACTAAGTGAACCCTCAAGGCCCGTTTTTGCTCTAAATTATAATGTTCTCTTACTAAACCTACTCAGTTGCATCTCAGAGATCAACTGTGTTAACTGAAAAGAGTGGGATGGTTCCTGTCCTGGATACCAGCAAAGGCTGATAGATTATTCTGTGGGCAGTTACATCCTCAAAATATGACTAAAATCTGAACACACGTGTGTTTTGTAACTAAATGCTGCATGATATTAATTGAAACCATAGAATCATAGAATAGTTTTGGTTGGAAAGGACCTTAAGATCATCTAGTTCCAACCTGGCCTTGAACACTGCCAGGGGACAGCCACAGCTTCTCTGGGCAACCTGTTCCAGTGTCTCACCACCCTCACAGTAGAGAATTTCTTCCTGACTTATAATCAAAACCTACCCTCTGTCAGTTTAAAACCTTTACCCCTTGCTCTACCACTGCAATCTCTGGTAAAGAGTCGCTCCTCATCTATCCTGTGGGCTTCTTTAAGCACTGTAAGGCCACTATAAGGACTCCCTGGAGCCTTTTCTTCTCCAGGCTGAACAACCCCAACTCTCTCAGCCTGGCCTCATTAAGGGAGGTGCTTCAGCCCTCTTATAATCTTCAAACCAGTTTAAGAAGATCTCTTACTTCTTGTATTATGTGAAATGGTATATTATATGCATTGCTTTTCAAAAGAGAAGAATAACTTACATTAAAAATACATTCACTTGTCTTTTTGTACTAATTCTAGGGTTTATGAATCCCTCTGATGGCCTTATGAATACATTCATATTATGCTCTGGCATTCAAAACAGGACTCCGTCCCTTTTCCCATTAGAAATAAACTCTTCTTTAAATGGCAGCAGTCAACTATGCATCTTATTCATGGCAAACAGAAAAAGTTTTTAAATGTAGTTTGACAGCTTAGTTATTGCTTTTAACTTAAGCCATAAATCAATCTGTAGATGCTACAAAAATTCTAATAGAAAGAATAATAGAAAGAATGCTTTGTTTTTAATATAAGTTACAGAACAATGTAAGAAATAACCCCAAAGCTTTGTCTAAATAAATTTCAGCTTTTCACAGTGAACTGTAACTCACCATATATTTTCATTTGTGGTTTCTGGATAGTGGAAGATATTGAATTAGACATCAAACCTTCACATCGCTCTTTCAGAATTTGGTGGGTATGTGCTGGACTGAACGGCCAGGAATAATCATGCCGTTCCCTTTGGCGTAGTCTTAAAAAGATTCTGAAACCATCAGGGGAAATTTATCTCAGAAAATACGAAGCAGACTCAGAATGCCCAAACCGTGTAGACTTAGTCATAAAGAAAGACTGCAGCTTGTGCAGACACTTAAATTAGCTTTAATTTAGATAAGTAAGGGATCGATAGCAATAAAGCCAGTAGCAGGATGGATTTCAAAACAAGCTAGTTACTCCAGTGAAGAACCTGGCATCTCAATGGGGCCCAAACAGTCTGCTGTTTCTGTGAGACCACAACTTCCCTGCTGTTTTCTGAACAAGCTACATTACAACATCAAGCTGTACCTCAACATGCTGCATGTACAATTTCAGCTTTGGTACAGGTGTACCTCAGTATAGAAAACAGAGACCATGAATGTCATCACTCAGAAAATACTGGATATAGTATTCAACCAGCGGCATGGAGAAATTTAGCACATATTTAGTGATCATTTGGCCCTCTCAAACAAACTCTCTCATTAATATTGCCACATTTGGTGATGCTGCTGACCAGGCAACTCTGCTTCCCCAACTCAAGCCTGAGCAGGGAGAACTGGCCGCGCAATGTGGCGGCCATCACCACTTCTGCTCCCTGTGGGGACCTCAGGATGTTTGTGACAACTTTCGTACCAAGGGAGGTCGTTATCCCAGTGTAGCTAAGGTGTGAGCTTAAACAAAGCCACGCTTCTTGCTGCACGCCCTGTGGACACACCTCCCCGATGACCAGCCAACAGAAGGTAGCTCCCCACATGCTGGGCAGTTTGGGTTGGCTCAGGAGGGACACAGGCACACTGCCACCATGCAGGTGACATGGGGCAGCACACCTGCTTGTGTGGCGTAAGGTGAGCGAGACTTCCTGATGTCCCTCACTCCAGCTGTGCTCAAGTCAGTGGAAGGTGAACTTTCAGCCTTAGTAGGAGCAGCCTGGTGCTGGCCATCAAAGCACTGGGCTCTCTTGGACTCTCTGTTATCAGCTTGACCAACATGCCCCTGCTGCTCCCTGGCAGGATGGGAGGTAATGTGCTCACGGTCCTGTCATCAAGGGTGATGGTCACACCACATGTGGGATATTCTACCTGCAGTGCTTTCCAGAATAACTGTACTTGAAAAAGCACCTTTTTTTACCACATGTGTCTATGCACTGGCACTTACCTTGTGTAAGAATGTATTTAAAAGAAAAATCTGATGTTATTAAACTAGTGGAAGTAGAAGACTAGAAGCAGCTTTGAGGCGCTTCAAAATGCCTTCCATAGTAAGATGAATTGATGTATTATCATACACTTTGTTCACTTTTTGTCTGCCAACCTAATGGCTGAGCTATTACAGTATCACTGTTCTTATGTTATAGCCTCAAATGCACTCAAACCTAATTTAAAATCCACCTTTTGCTCTGAAGCTGAAACCATGTTAGTGGTGAAAATGAGGCCGACTGCATCCAAATCTGCACTTACAAAATTAAAGGCAGGATTTTCTTAGCAGAGGATACTTGTTCGTCAAATTTACTGCCACCAGAGATCACACCCTCCCTCAGATCATCACATATGACTTTTCTCTCTAATAAAAAAAAAAAAAAAGATAGTTGCAATGAGCCAGGGTTGTATTTTTTTTAATGTCACCACTTTTTGTGGTATGTGAAGTAAAAGGAGAGTTATGTCTCTTCCCCAGGGACAGCGCATTTCAAGATGTATGAAAGAATAAGAAGATATTGCTTAGCATCTCGAAGTCTTGTCTACAGAGGCACTGTACATACATAGAGTTAATAAGAGATAAAAGTCCTGACCCTAGAGAGCTTCCAGTCAAAACAGATGAAAGGATGGGGAAAAAAGTAGTAATATTATCCTCCTTTTTTAATATGTATATATATGAAAGCAAAGAACCGAGAAAATAGGTCATTTGCCCAAGACTAGAAGGAAAGCCTGTAAATATGAATTTAAATTTAATACTTCTCAAGTCTCAATCTGGTCTCACAAAACCATTATTTCTCCCAAAACATCATATTAAAGAAATACCATCAATAATGAAGCAAACTGCAGACTGGAAGGATCATAAATAAAATACCACATACAAATGTAAGTATGAACAATTCTGATTTTTGAAAACTTTCCCTTGTGTCCAATTTGAATAATTGGCTATTTCACAGAAGCTGGCAAATATATGCCTCTTGTAACAAAAAGTCATTGTGCAACAAAAACTTCTATTTTCATTTATAATTATCTACCATAATATATTGATCCCTCTGTTGACCACAATCAAAACACTCTAATGGCTGAAATATGAGGTTGAAACACAAGAAAGGAATCCTTCCTGGATATAAGGAATAAGGACAAAAAGAATATATTTGGAGAAGACCGAGGAAAAAAGAATTGAACATCTATCTCGGAACTACTTGTAGAGGCATTTTTTGTTGCATATTTTATACTTTGCTTCTCCAATGTCAGAGAGAAGTGACTGTATTGCAGCTGGAAAAAAAATGGCTGTGCTTCAAGACTCTTCCCTTTCCCACAGTATCTGTGTTCTTCTATCATTTATATTTGATGAAGTCTTTTAAAAAGAGAAACTAATTCTTTAAAAAAACACAATGTGGTGGCAAAGACATAAATCTCTCATATTGTCCCCAGAGCCTGTGTTATTAGGATTATTATAGATTAGATTATTATGGAAAGGAAGATTTAAATATCTTATTTACCTGAACAGCATCATAATACATTTTCTTGCCTTCTTCATCTGTCTTGTCTGACATCAGCCATGCCTTAAGCAAATATTCATAAAAACTATCCCCAAGCCCTCCAATGGAGACGTGATCTTAAAAGGGAAGAAAGAGATTGAACAGTAATTTCATCTTCAGCCTGGGCAATAAAATACAATTGCAGTTTGAAACAGTTCATTTAATGATCTCCTTCTGCAACAATTTTTAATAAATGTAAGCTTTGAACCTCAGGATGAACCTAACTGGTATAGACAGAGACTTACTTCTTTAATTGCTAAGTTTTTCATCAAGCTAAAGCATGATAGTTATTTAATATCGTGCCACAGGAGTTCATGGCAAAGAAACAAGTATTTGTATTTTTAACATCTAGTCATGTATTCTAACCTGTACAAAATATGTTAATCTAAGTTCTTTTTTCTTCTAAAAACAGGAAAAAAAAGTAGAAAATGCTTCATTTAAGTCACTTCATAAAAAAGGCCAAAACATTTTAGCTCCTTACTGCAGAGTTGAATTTCAGGTTATTTAATGGCATTTCAAAATGCCATCCCGTATGTTTAAAAATAAGACTACATTTTTGAACATCTGGCTGCGCTCAGAACTCAGCAGTAGATCTGGAAGGGAAAAAAAAAAAAGACTTCAGACTACAGAGGATTATTGCTATCACACTGCTTTATTTTGCCCTATGCTTACTACGTGAAATGATCTGGTACCATGGATGCTGTGATTATTCAATTGCACACGTTTAGGACATGACCCTGCGAACACTAACACCACACAGATCAGACCATTCAATGTCAGTTGCACCAGTGATGTGAAAGTTAGCAATGGTCTCAGCTGCTCACACAAGGTTGCACTTACTTGCTCTCTAGAAGCCTAAAAGATTCTTGGCAAAATGGTAATGGGCTACCACGATTTCAGCATAGATCCCCTAGACACATGAAATACTACAACTCTCTCTCTCTATATATATATATGTATATGTAAATTGTTTCTCTAAGCTCCATTAAACTATGAACACTAGCTAGAGGTTTTCTTGTCTAAGTTGGTGCTGCCTGGTAACATTCAAGGATTTGGCATTTATTGAGGCTTCAGTGAAAGGATTTCAGAATGCTTTACCAGGGCTACTCATTTATAACCATTAATTTTGCAGCAAGGAAGGGGTCAACTAATTCCACCCAAGACATCCAGGATGCAGATGTGGTTACATATATTATGCAGCAAGTCCGTAAGTCATATCACAAAATTCTGGGCATAGGAAAAGCAAAACATGCATGGGGTAATCCAGGCTCATAAAGTGAGGTTTAGTGGTATAGAGCTCACACTTCCCAACGCCTAATTCTGATCTTAGCTTCAAAGTTATCCCTCTGTTGGTGGAATTCAAAAGAACAGATAATTTATTTTTAAATTCCTTAGTATCTTCATGGAATGCCTCCTTCTACCTCCTTTCTGAATAGGTTGCAAAGCTATGAAAATCTGGAAGATGAACTTTTTTCTATTCAAACTTTATTAACAGTTTCTTTTTCCTCCACTAGCCTGTGACATAATTTAGTTTTCCAAATGTATCCTGTCCCTTTGCCTAACAAATACATTGTACCATCAAACCTGAGTTATAAACGTCTTCCCCCATCCCCGTCTTTAGAATGAGATATATTACATTTCTGGAGAGAATACACCATTTATTTAATTAAATGTTCATGATCCAAAAGGAAAAGAGGCTTCTTGAAAAAAATGAGAACATTCTCTATGATCAAAGGCTGATCTTTGAACAGCAGCATTTAAATGACCTTTACGGTTTCCTAAATAAATTACCATAGAAACCTCTGACATTTGCAAGCTAAATAGCACAAGCGCAGTTTCATCAATAATAAGCCCTGTTATTATATACATTATTGCAGTAGACAAATCCAATTGACGCACGCTGCAGCAAATCACTGTCAGTTTACTGTCAAAATAACAAGGGCTAAATGAATTTACAGGAACAATGGCAGTGATCCAGCAGTGTCCTTCACAGTTACAGCATTGCTAGAGAAGAACTGTTCAGAAACTATTCCTCTGTCCCCACTTGATGTTTGAGATCTAATACTTCTGTCTTGTACAAATTAAAGACTCTAGGTTTGGTTTTGTTTCCTGTTGTAATCAACTGAAAACAGTCTAGAAAAGCAATCTCAAATTTACTATGGGAAAAAAAAATAATAAATCAGTGTCTGTGAACAGAGGCAACTGAATTTGAAGAGATGCAACACAACTGAATTTGCTTTTGCCGCTTCAGCATGCAAGGGGCTGACCTCCGACAGCATCCATGTCCATCATTTGCATGTGCAGGAAGCTATTTCTTTGTCAATACTACATGCTATTGGAAAGCAAAGCTCTTAAACTGAAAGTTTTCCTATGCATGCCAATAAAAACTGGCATTTAGTGTGAATGAGGAGTACATAAAACACGATTATATTAAAAATACAGAAATGGCAAAGACCATAAGGCAGAACAACTATTTGACTGCTTTAAAATATATAAGGCAGAGACACTGACGGTGTCAGTCACTGGAAAGATCTGCTCTCCTGCAACTCACCAAAAAGCTGAGTTGCTGTGACTGAAGCTGAGGAAGGAGGTAACTGGACCTGGCTCACAGATGCTGAGGTGGCCTTCTAACCAAACCCAGTGACTATTGCTGTAGGAGCAACACTTCCAGGGAGAGGTTTTAATATTTTACAAAGCTGTGCTAAACCACCATGGGTAACAAGTGGGCACACATCTCTCAGATCTGTAAATGGATGTCAGAGTTTATACCAACATGCCAACTGGAGTTGATGGTTATGGATGCTGAGCTGCCACAGGCCTTGTGGCAGGGTGACCTGAAGGAAGCCTCACAGCATAGCAGACTAGAAGGTTTTCTAAATTGTCAGGATACTTCTAATTCATAAAGGGAAACAGCCTTTGCCTTAATGGGACAATACAACTGAGCAGCACAAACTTTTTGGACATCTTTTTAATTCAGAGTGTGATACAAGGCATTCTAAAATATATTTTATTTAATAAAACATTTTTTCTTTGCCTTTGTGAAAATTACCTTTCCAGACTGTGGCCAGTCCCATAAGGACTCCAGAACCTCACTTCCACCTTAGATGCATCCTAAACAAGCTATTATATCCAAAACCATCTCCAGACCTTTCCCTCTCTTGTACTGTTACCAGCTCCAACACTGATAATCTACAGGATCATCTCATCTGCCCATGTACTTTCAGATCAAGACAGCGTATCTTGCTTGTTTTCTTTCAATAATGTAGGGGAGAAAAAATATGAAAACATTGAGCCACATGACTTGGATGGTGGTAGACTGGACCCAACTAGGAAAAGTGGAAATAGAAGCAGGGTCTCTAAAATCATGACCCTGCACAATACGTAAGCTTTGAACATGTTATGAACGTTAGAAAAGGCTCAGTCATCGGGAAGGGGCTAAGAAGTTCAAATACTTCAAGCATTTATTTATGCTCTTTCCCTTTTAATTTTGGTGCCTCCAGTAATGGCTCCAAGGGAATTAATGCCATGACACAGTTCTGTTTAGTTTGCTTCCTCAGTTGTTGGCATAAAACTTCAACAGAAATCACAGCTGGTATTAACTGGAAAGGCTTGGTTTATTTTTTTTTTTTTTAATCTTCAGTGGAGCTACCACTCTAAAAATATGGAATTTGATTCAGATGAGCTGATAATGTTTCCTTAAACAGCTACTTTAGAGAGCACTTTAGATTTCTGAATAAAAGACTTTTGTAGTTTACAAATTCCTTTCCAAAATAATACATAGTCAAGACATTACCCTGCTTGCATAAGCCATACTGAAAGATCAAAGACAAGTATATTGAAATACAGCAAGTCGGATTATTATCTTTATATTTGTAGTATCTTTTACACTGTATAGAACCTCAGATATAATGTGAGTTTTTATACTTTATAAAAGTTCTTTATATATATATACACACACACAAAAACCAAGTAACAGTGACTGAAAGGCATTAATGACTGCAAAAAGCACACTGATATACAGGTCATAGTACCAAAGAAGTGATCTACTTACGCTGGCCCCACTGACCACTGCTGGGATTCAGGTAGTTGGGGTAAAGGCCCTCTGGCTTATCCAGTCGATTTAGAACTTTTCGAATATTCATCACCTATTGGAAGGGTACAAAACACTGAGCATGGATTCATTTTTCCCACCAAAATAAAACAGTGTCAGTACAAAAGTCTTAAAGTACAAATACCCCTAAAAATAAAAACAGTCTTATTCAAAACATATACCAGAATACATCTGTGCAATCATATTACTATTAAAAAAGATCCTCTAAGCTCATACCATCAGGTAAATGAGCTCCTCAAAACTCTGGAACTTCTGTGTCAAGAGTCGGTAATGAAACAACACAACAAAAAAGCAAGCTCCAAAGTTCAGAACTTTCCATACAGAGTACCTTGCCCCTCCATGGGGTACTGAAATCCACGGAGGCTAGTTGCCTTAACTAAGCTCAGCTACTTCAGCATTATATTCCTCATAAACCCAAATCATAAATGGTATTAGATATTACGCCTGTCACCTAGTTCAGATGCAGAACTGAATTGTAAAGCAGCTTTGCCTGGGAAGGAGAGCACTGCTGGAACAGAGCTTCATACAGCCAGCCTGCCCTGCAGAAACCCATGCAGCCCTGAGCACTCTGCTGGCACTGTTAAGGAGCTCACTACAAATGAGAGGCCTGGGGAAACAATTACAATCCAGATGCTCTGCAGCTGGAGACATCCAGCAGCACAATCCATTGCAGAGCACATGAAATAATTTATACTGAATTTTAACATTCGCAGAAAAAGCAAATGTAGCAACCTGGGAGAATGAAGACCCTGAGCGCTACAGACCAGAAATTGTAACAAAAAGGTACTGACAGCTTCATTATAACACCCTGAATGCCTAGAGAGCAAGTGAACTAGCTGCTGAGAAAGAAGATAAATTACCTTACACCAAGCTGCAGAAGGATTTGTGTTGCAGTACACAAACTGCCTTCTGCATCTTGACACTACATTGCTAACAGTCATTGCCCAAATGCAGACTGCAATGAGTCCTAGACCTCATTTAATGAATTCTTCTATGAATACTTCCAGGCAAAGCTCATTCCAGTGTTTCTTCTTCTTTATCAAGCTTACCAGCCCCAGCATGGCTTGCCTCGGAGCACTGTGGAATCACAATCTCTAGAGCAGCTTACATAAACAGATTTCCAGCATCTTGCATCTATAGCTCGATGCTACTTTGAAAAGAACCACAGGCTAGGATTTTTAACATACACACTTTCATCACACATTAATTGTCTCTTAGTAGAACAGATGTTATACATTAAATTACCATAAATGTCAAGAGATAATTAAGTTATCTAGTAAATTTGTTTCTGGCTGTTCCTGAGTGCTCCCACTTCCCAACCCCTCCCCCCAGTTGAGATTTGTTTAAGAGAAACTCAGTGTTTAAATTCACCCCTAAATACATTAAAAACACTGGGAGTTTGTTTCACAATATTTATTCCAGTGCTGACAACGGTATTGCAGCAAAGCCATTCAGTCCTTTAAATCTGGGACAATTAGTATTCATTTTACATTTGACCATTGCTTTTAAACCTACTCCTAAATACACGGAGTCTCATTATGAATTAGATTATTAGATAGATAATATCAGTTTTAGCTAACATGGGGCAGTTGCAGTAAGTATACAAACCCAAAAGAAGTGGAAGTTTTAATTAGGAGAAAAAAAAAAAAGAAGACAAATGGGACTGCGTGTTATAAAGAATAGGACTTGCTGACTATTTACACACCAAATAATAGCAAAGTAAAATTGCTTAGGTGGCAATTGAGGGACAGAGAAGAGGATTTGCTTTCCACGGGTCATGTAAATAGTAAGTATCCAGAAGACAATGTTATTAAATTTTGGAAGAATTAGTAAGCACAATAACTGTTTTGTCAAAGGGTGGGTTTTTTGCTTTTTGTTTTCTTTTTTTTTCTCCCCCAAAGAAAGTTCAAAGCACATTTCTCAAAGGTCAGTGCAATGGAAGGGCTTTCTGACCTCTCTGACAGCAGTTATATTATACAGCACTTTGAAGACTAAACTTGCTGAAATCACACAAGGCGGCCACAGTGCTTTGCTTTCTATAGGCACCACATACGATCCCCAATACAATGTTAATTTTTGTTTTCATAACATTCAGGTGAAATACTGAAGAAAGCTCTATGGTCTGATTGTTTAACGTGATACTAATTTAGCAGATAAACCGACATTATATGTTTTATGGGGCTGGGTAAGTGCTATATACAAGAAGATGCATCACAATGATTTTGGAAGAGATTTTTGACTTCATAATACAAAACCATGTCAAGGTGATTAGGAAAACATCTAGAAAATACTTACAACTGAGGAAAATCCAAATCTCTCCCCAGAGGTATTAGTCTCCTAACACGTCATTTATCTTTTACAACATGATCTTGACTGAATCGTCTAACCTTTTCAGCGAAGACAGGGTTTCCAGACAGATGGCTCAAGTGTACGAACTCCAGATGCAAAGTCCCAAATTCTGCCAAAATGCTGCTGCCGCCAGAGGCCCATGGCCAATTTCGACCGATTCCACTAAGATGGGGGGGGAAGAGAAATACAGAAAATTACCATGAGCATCTATAAGGCAATGCTAATAAAATATAACATGCAGCAGATATACTACTGCTATCAAGAAAAGATAATTAATTTAAAATGTACTTAATATCTGTGTAAGAAACCATGCTTTGACAGTGTTCCATGACTTCACCACAGGACCTTGAACTACTTCAATCCAGTTCAGCTTAGGCTTGTAAAATCTTCTCGCAACAAGCCATTCTTTTAGCTCATGAATAGCTCCATTACACAGATCATTGTACCAGTGTTTCAGTGTATGATAACATATTTAAAAACATTACAAAAAATACTGAGCATGAGAAAGCCTTCTCATACTTCACCCGTTTTCCCTGTATTTAACACAATACTCTCCAATTCTAACTTCTCCTTCTGCAGTGCAATTGTTTATTAACTTAAAATACTGCATATATACAGTATAGGCTTTGAGTTAAAAATACTACATGCAGTATACTCTTCTTAATACCTGAGAATTTAATAGATCAGGACATGTAGGCATTGTCTGTCTGGGCACTCTTACCAGGATGAGTAACTTCAGTTTTAATTAAGACCTAAAGATACTTCACAGCAAAATTAACCTCAGGTTTTGTGCTGAGAGTAGAGAAAAGCACGTTTATTGCTAAATCCCCACTATAAACTAATGCTGGTTGAGATTCAGGGCGAAAAGTCTGCTAAATTACAAAATTACTCTTGAAATTTCCAGCAGCAATATTTAGAAAAACTCCTGAAATTAAAGAAAAGCTAGCCAACTTTGCAGAGCACTTAGGTGAATAGTGATATATTAGACCAGCATATTATTAGCATGAATGTTAGATATAAGCACACTTGTTAGGTACTGGCATGTCTTCCTTATTTTCAAGTTGTAAACAGAATTAAACACACATATGTATATATCAATAAAAATGTAATTTTACTTTTACACTTAAGCAGCCACTACAGTCATCAGTTAGTACTTGTACAATCATGAAAATTAAAATGTAAAAAACAAAACAAAGCAAAAACCCCAAGAAACCCCATCTTTAGTTCATCATGATAGAAGTCCTCAGTTGTACTCAAATTTTTTCTTCAAAAGGTCAAGTATCTATAACTGAAGTTTAACCAATATACTGAAATTAAGACTTCATTAAATTAATTTGTCCACTAGCTATATTAGCACATTGGGATTTCTGCCACGCACAAAATAAAAACATGCCATTAAACTTTCAAAGCAGAGTAAAGGCTACAAATAAAGAGCACATTTGTGTTCTAGTTAAATGTCACGGCTTTAAACTGTGCAACACCTTTGGCTGCCTCGCCTTGAGCTTAAAGCACTACTGGAACTGCCACCAAAAATAAACCCAGAATATTACCTATTGGTAGGCGGGCTTATATTGTCCCATTTCTGAAGTACCATAGCTTCCCATAGGTATGCTACAGATTTTCTTTTTCCCAGACCATAAAGCACTTAAGTGACTAAGCTTATCTGAGTTCTGAGTGGAGGGAGAACTTGGTGGAGCAAAAGGAAAGAGATCAGATGGGGGTCTCCTGGCTGATCATAAAGGTGCAAGAGGCTGGGACACATGGAAGTCCCCTGATGCAAATGATTGCCCAAAACTTCAAAAGAGAAAAATGTTTCTGATCTTCATAGTTGCAGAAAAAATCAACAACATAACGAGATCAGCGTACTGCAAAGACGCACACAGTCCAACTTTGATATGATATGTGTACGACAGAAACAGAACACAAGTTTTAAGGGATCTGAATATTTCATATTAAGGGCAGTCTTACAGAGATCAGAGTGGTTTTTACATTCGATGGAAACAAAAGTGAAGGGAAAAACCCACCTGGTTTACAAACTGTCTACACTTCAATCTACCACAGGTCAAAATTTTTCCAAATAGTGACATAAAAGTGTCAGATATTACAAAAAATAAGATCAAGGTGAGTACTGCAGACAACATGTCTGGAAACCTCTTATCTACAGACTGAAGAGCTTCCACCTACAGACTGGTTATTCACCCAAGAACTGGCACCATCTCTGGAACACACTGACCCGAGTCCTGCTTAACTGCTGACTTGTAGATTAAAATATTTTAACTTGTTTCCAAATCACCCAGATTAGAAGGGATGGCATAAGACACTAATGTTAAATAAAGCTCACCAGAAAAACGAAGTGAAATATTTCAAGGTTTGGAAAAGTTACCATGTTATGGTGCAACTGGAAAAATCCCACTTCTTTTCCTGTTAAGTTTCTCAGTAAATCTCAAAGTGGAAACACTGAGCGGTTCCTGCAGCAAGGCATCAACCAAACTTGGCAGAAAATGTAATAAAGTTCCTACCTTCACTCTACCACAACGTTTGCTGATATCAAAGCCTGTCAGAACTGGATTTTGTACTGATGTGCTGCATTTTGTTAACCAGAAACATTTTCAAGCATGGCTATTGCGAGGTTTATGTTTTACCATGAGTGAAAGATTCTTCTTGCTTAAGACAGTTTGAAAACTATAAACTTGCATTCTTTACTCTTAATGCAAGAAAAGTAGAAAGAAACATCTCTGTTGAATCTACGTACTATTTAATGAATTTATTGTTTTCAGTTGGGACAGATGGTTAGAAAAAAAATGCATCAACATATTTCTGGCAAATCTGGAAAATAATGAGGGTATCTGGTTGGTTGGTTTAGTCTCAGATGGGTGCTGTTAAGTTAAAACTGACAAACTTGTTTCAACAAGTGGTGGAACCAAAGAACTGCAATTCAGTGCTTTCACTGTTTTTCTTGCAACCTTCAGCTGTGCATGTCTGATATTCTCTCATATATATATATCATTTTTTGGAGCAATGAAACAGGTAAATTTTCTATATTCCCTCATACTAACTGGAGCAGCCACAGTATTGCTTCTGATTTCATTTAACTCTTATCTGTGTTTTAAGGTGATAGTCCAGCATGCATGACTTTGCAGACAGTCAGGTCCTGAAGAGACATTGCTAGAGCCCAGGAGATGTTCCACAAAGCTCTCAGCATACAAAATGAGAGATATTTCATACTCTCTGATCCTTTTTGACCAGGGAACATAGACTTTGGCTTTTGCTTCCTGGCTTAAAAAATAGAAACTGAGAAGGGTGCTTTATCTTCCACCTCACTCCCAAAATAAATTTCCTAAATATTGTATACTTTTAAACAGAACAGACCTTAAGCAAGAGAGAACCTGAACAGATGAAGGGATATGGTGAAATGGAAAAGACTTCTCTGTCAAAGTTTATAAACAATGAGTACATTCATAAATGACATGAGGTACCCTAGAAAATAACATTCAATAAGCAAGTGTAATAGCTCAGTAAACCTTAATGACCAGGCATGGTAAAATACTGATTTCTGCCCATGAATGAGACAACACATCCAGTGCTCCCAACTCAGGTATTTTTCAAGCTCTTCACTGATATTATTATCAGGGTGACCAAAAATTTCTCCAAAGTTAAAAAAGTCAATGCTAGTTATGGGCTGTCTTCCTGAAGTCTTGAGATGCAAAGCTGGGGCTCTGGTGAAAGGCTTTATGTCTACTACAAGTTTTAGTAAAACTATGTATAACATTGCAAGATTCCTACAGTTTTTCTTCCAAGGGCACCCATTACTCAGGTCAAGAAACTACAGCATCAATCTGAACCCAAAGAATGATCAGGGCATTTGGGGGATTTTCAAAGGCAGTTTACAGCTCTGTGAGCTGCACAAACTTATGTGCAGATCACTTGTCTCAACCAAAGCAAAATCTGTAAAGCACTGAAAGCCTTTTGAAGCTTATTTTCTTTCAAAATGGTTTAATGTCCCAAATGCCTTGCAAGCTGACAAATGCACTCTTCAGAGATAGATACATACCATCACTGGTAGGAGACAGCAAAGGGGGCCCAGGTATGACACTCACCTTTTCTATTAGCTGCATTCCCTTATCTTGCTTTCTTTTTGTAATTTACTTTGCCACTGTATTTTTCAATTTTCCTATGTTGATATGCACTACAGTCTATAATAAGTGTCAGTCATGTACTGACATCAGAGTCAGAAACAAAACTCCTTCTATACACTTCAGGAAGGAAGGAGAAGCCACCTTCCTTAAACTTTTTTGAAGTTCCGGACCAGTACTAAAATAATTTCAGTTTACAGTGCACTATTTTACTATATCTCAATTCATTATGTCTAAAATAATATTATTTATACTACCTAAAACTCATTTAAAATTTCTGTTAAATATTAATGGAACTTTAGAATTATTTCTATATTATTATAACTAGTGTTATAACTAGTATTATGTATTTAAGTAAAATTTGAAGTAAGGATCTGGATGACAAAAGTGTATTAAAGCAATACCATTGTTTTATGATATTTCCCATTTATTTTATAAACTTTGTTACTGATCACTGAGTGCCACAGACTCTAAAATACAGTTTTTGTAATACTACTCTCATTCATTCTCAGGAAATATGAGTCTGATTGACCTGGGCTGCTGGTAACTCAGTATTTTTCCAGTAGACCACTGTTGGTCCTTCTGTATATAGGAACAGAAAGTATGAGATCAATCTCTCTTCTAAAATGTACAGAACATATCAGGAGAGGGAACCACAGAGAAAATATAAATAAAGGTGTTATTTTTTAGATTACTGAAATTCAGAGGCACAACAATATTTACAAGATTTAAAAATATACATTACATTCTCAATATATATAAAGCAGCAGCTAATATTCAACTGAAAGGAATAGAAAATTCTCACTGAAACTGCACTTTGAAGGGTCAAAACGATTATCAAACCAAAATTCTTGCCATCAGTGAGCAGAACTGTTTCAGTCTCTGCAGACAGTTTTGTTTATTATCCCCCAACCTTTCCTGGAGGGTGCAAGGACAACTCTACAAGCTGGAGGCAGAGCAACACTTCAGAACTTCAATATTTAATGCAAAATGCAAAAACATAACCTAATAGTCAGTATCCTCCTGCAG